AACTTTTAGTTGAACTTCTTGTTTAAAGATTCTGAATAATTAGGCTACCTAAATCTTAGCTACATTGGCTATTTCAGATATTCTTGTATGTTATCTTATCTGTGGACATAGTATAATGTCTGTAGACATGATGCTCACAGAAGCGACGAAACCATGGTTTTCAATATTGATGCATGTTAGACAAAAATCTGCAAATTAGTAAGCAAATCTTGAATATTTGAAACTATGGATGCATTAATTTATTTAACAAGACTACTTAATTATAAGAATTCTATAATGTTCACAGACATGACATGTGGTCAATGTCATGTCTCATGACATAAAAAAAATAGCCTAAAGCTACAGAGTAAGTATAGCAAATCAGTAAGTATGCATTATTCTCTGTACCTCTGAATAAAAGAGCTCATCAAAAAGATCTGTAAAAACGAATCGCTACCATCTGGATAAATTTATTATTATTATTATTATTTTGGATCTGCCCACAGACGTGATATATTTATCGGGGGACTGGAATTTGGTTTGAAATTAAGAGAATATTAAAAAATATAATCGAGATTATTGTTTTGAGTACAGTTTTTTAGTTAATTATGAGACTGAAAAACTGGGAATTAAAGAGGGTGACATGTAGTATCTGTGGACAAGTTTTGAACAGTAAATTTATTTACATATACATGTACTGATTTGCATACATATATTGTTTAACATTGCTACATTGTTTTTCATATACGCGTATTTTATCAAACGGATCAAGGCTTACAACACATTTATGTAAATTTTTTAAATTTTTTTATTTATACTCTAAATGCCAGGTAACCGAAATTCTTGCTTTTTCTGAAAATAACCCAAATACATTATTAGTTATTACTAAACTGATTCTTACGTAAACTTATTTTGACTAATATCTAAAAGTAAGCCTAAATAAAAATGTTGCAAATTTTTGGTTTGTCATTCAGAGCTACGCGTAGTCGTTCCATCATCAATTTGCTTTCATTTCCCTGCTCACATTTCATTAATTTATCTTCGTTATCTATTGTTTCGCCTCACATGAGAATCATAAATCAATGTATGGCCACCCGCGAAAGGCAAAATCAAGGTAACGATGGTCATCACTAGTGCGCACTCAAATTTACTTACCAATCTATCAAGTTAATGGCATGAATTTCGAGGTATCTTTTACTATTCCATTCGAAAAAAATTAGTACTTTTCTTTTTAAATCAAGTTTCTATGTGTCTTCAAATTGCATACAAAGTAAAAACTTAGTATAAAAATAGTATAATCCGACAAGAAAATCGCATGGTACACACTTAAAAAAAATCACGATGCTTCCTATTATTTCAAATAACATGATAAACAAGTTCAGTTTTCATCAGTGTAATTGACTCAAAAATTAAAAATGATATTTTGTTAATTATAATTTCTTTCATCTTAAATAAAAATTGCAACTTAACTTTACCTAAACTGCTTGTTTTTTTAATAAGTACTGCATAAATGCATCGGGAAAACAAAATCTTGTCTTTAGAAAATTATTAATTCAAGTTTTTTCAATTAAAGATTGAAAGAAAAATATTAAGATTTTTTTTTATTTCACCTTTTTTATTAAAAAAAAAAATAATACATAAGCTAAAACTTCATTGGGCAGAAAATAAAAGTCGAAGCACTCTGAATAACTTTTGATGTCATTATCGGATCTCTAATAAATATCTAATACATTAATAGTTTGAGATATGCGCTAACTAATTAGCCTCAATATTAGTAGTTTGAGTCTTTCTATATTTTTGCTATATAACTCCGAAGGCGAGATCGGTAAATGTGTCGCTCAATGATGGTCATAAGTTCGATCCCGGCAATCAACAACAAAACATCCAACTGGCCAGTATATACAGCAAGGTCAACTTTAAATCAGTCAGATCTGATAATCTCTCAATGGTTGTGGTGTGGAAGTTTGGAGCGAGGGTACCAGCTCAGAGGCTGTCCACGTCGTCAGTCCAAGGAAAATTACGTGGCGGTGATAGCTGTTTAGAACCATGGTTGAAAACATGGTAAGCTCAAACTTTAACCTACCATGGCTGTTAAAAGATTGTGCCCCAAAAATGGATGTATGTTCCTTGTCATGGTTGGGCGTTGTGTGCTATTTTGCTATATCGCTATATCTCTGGAGTTAGTATCGCTAATAAAGCATGAAACTTTTAACAAAATTGCAAATTTCAACTGATTTTTTTCAAGAATAATTTCATTTAAAGATAATTTTTAGCACTTATTAATCATGCTATATCATTTAAGTTATTAATATAAGCAGATACTTGGAATTGTAAGGCATGCAATTTTTAAATCTTTTTAAACAACCTCATTTTAAATTATATAATTCAAAATTTGAGCAAAATAAGGTGAATAGTTCTTAAAAATTCAAAATTCCTACATTTCATATCGCAAATTATTATTCATATAATTATTCATATTAAATATATCATAAATAAATTTTTTCTTATTCAATGTACTTCTTAGTTATTTTAAACTTGTATATTATTAAACATATTTGTTTTAATTAGATTTCAAAAGATCAGAAATATTTTATCAAGAAAGCTTAAAAATCATAAGAAGCTCTTTATTTATAAATTTTTGTCGATCATAAAAACATTTATTTTTACATAATATTTGACGATTGTTAAACACTGCAAATACACTAACTATTAAAAAACTAAATAAAAATATTTTCTTCAGATTTTGTGATCTTCTGCATAATTGAAGAGCAATTTTACAATTTATATGTCAAAGAAAGATAAAGGAAATAAACTTTGAAGATTGTAAAAATTTTGAAGGTAATATATAATAGAAAAGTTTACGATGAAAAATACCAAGATGCCATGTTATAGAAATTTCGAATTTTTCACCTCAAATGTTCTGACACCCAAATCTTTCAGAAGTACCTTCTTAATAAGGCCCTTTGGGAACGCTTGTTATTTCGTCAAGAAGATAGGTTACTTTCTGACTCAAAAAGCTTGTACTCGAAAAGTTACATTCAAAAAATTGCTGGGAGCACGTTAGTACTTTATTAGATGTCTAAACCTTTATATTTATTTATTTACTAAAAAATATTCTCACGTTTCCTATTAATTTAAGTTCGATAAAAAATAATTTCAATATTCTCCGTTTCTCATCAGCACAATAAATAAACTATGTTAAGAAATAAATGGTCTATATAATTCTAAATTTATTATAATTTAATTATAAATAAGTATTATTATTTTTCAAAGTAATATTGATTGTCTAAACCTCATGGTTTGATGATCGGGACGAATTAAGCAGTTTTTTTATTAATTAATTAATGATGTTAAATTATAATAATAACAGATTTACCTCTGTCCTATAAAACATTTTATAATATATACTTTTGTTTTATAAAATTTATTTAATTAAACTTTATATTAAATATATAATATAAACTGACACTGATATGAAAATCTTAAAAGAAAACAACTAATTTAAATTTTAATTACTTGAAATAAATATGATTTGACTCTAAATATAACTCCAACTTGCATATTTACCGATTTGAAGAAAAAAAATGATCAAATCCAAAAGATCGTGATCTTTATTATCGATTAGTAATTCAATTTGATTCTCTTACATAATAAAAACTAATACTTAAAGTATTAATAATTTTTCTGAAATTTATTTGTTATAACAATAGTATAATTTAGACATCTCAAAGGTGACGTCAATTAAAGTTCTCGGTGTAATATAATGATAAACGTCCCGCTTTTTCCTAAGGTTCAATTTTTACATCAAACTCTTCCTTAATATTGCTTCTAAATAGGTATTTAACAATTATTCTGAATTATCACTGGTTGGTAGTACAAAAAGGAGAAATATTGTACTGTTTACTAGCAAATTGTGGTATTTTTCACTAATAACGATTTTAAAATATGCTCTTTTGGACTTTGGGAGAGTACCTTGGATAAATGCAAATATTTGTACCACCCAGTGGAGGAATTTTGAATTCAGTAGGTGTAGTTGATATCTGCAAAAAACATGTACTATCTGCTGTGTTGGTGACCATTTCAGCTTTTACCGTCATGTGCTAGAAAAATAACATTTTTGATTTGTGGGCTGCTGACTTCATTTTCAATCAATAAAACACTATTGTATCTTCGTTTGAAAACAAAAATAAGATAGATAAGTGCCTAACTGTTATCTGTGAGGTAAAATACAAATTTTTTTTTAATCAAAAATGATTTATATTTTCAACAAAAACTTCTAAAAGAAATAAGAAAGTTTATGTTTTTTATACCTTAGACCAGTTTCGGTATTGTATTTTGAACCGGTTGATAGCACAAATACACCGTGTGGACTAAACCACTCACGATCTTTAAAATTTTTGTTCTTAGTAACGCTATAAGTTCTTGTATTAGTCCAATAAAATCTCTTTGGCCTTACGTTTATAATTATTTAGGTTTATTTTGGCTTATTTAGGCTACGTGAAAAAGTTTTAATTGCCTAAATATCCAAAATCATCCAATTTACAAGTTTAAAAGAAAAGAACTCAAAATGATTGTTATCCCAGAACTGACATTTAATGGTTATATAAAGTGTACAGTATTAGGTGATCCAAGGTACAACACCATTTTGTATTTTGGACCAATTTTCCTGACTTTAAAAAAAAATATAAAGTGTATGACGGAATTTGCTCACAAAAAATCTTATTTATAGCCAAACGCACAATGTATTCCTCACAAAATTTCCTCACAAAGTTATTTAAATTATTACCTATTTCTGCTTAAAAATTTAAACAAGTAAAATTGGTTTCATATACAACCCTCTCCGCAATTAGAAAATGTGGTTTACCGTTGTATTGCCCCCAGCCCTTAAATTTATATGTCTTCTATCGTTAAATATTTTTATTTTGTTTTTTAAAAAAGTTGCTGAATACTTCAAACTTAATAGTTAATTTTTTCTTTTAATTTATATATTATGTATGCTAAAATATTACTTTTATTTTTAGGATATAGCCGGCGTATGACATACTATACAGAATGCCGATTGCCGCCATATCCTTCATACTCACTTTTACATTCATAGCTGTGATATGGGGGAAATGCCCTGAAGAATGCATATGTGGTGCTGATCTTGAGGATCGAAAAAGGGTTATCTGCAATAAAGGTGGGCTAGTAGAAATTCCCACTTTAAAAATGGATCTGGATATACAAGTATTAATAATCACGGCTCCACCTCATAATTCCAATGAATTAACAATAGGTAGAATATTTCTAGATTTCCATGATCTAGAAGAAGTTCGTATTACTTATTCGAAGTTACCTGCCATTGGAGACAGTTCGTTTTGGCCTGGAAAAAATCTTAAAATCCTAGACCTTAGTCATAACAACATAACATTTATTCGTGACAAAGATTTTTATGGCCTACGAAATCTGCGTGTTTTAGATTTAAGCTATAATGGCATATCAGCTTCTCCATCTGCTCCATTCAGATTATTATCAAGTCTAACAACCCTTTCTCTAGCTCGAAATAAGTTTCGAACACTAGTTCCAAGATTTTTTTACATGCTTACCAAATTGGAAAAATTGGATTTAAGTGGAAATCCTCTGAAGGACATAGATCCTGAAAACCTTAAAGATGTTCGTCCACTTCGACGATTTCATTTAGCTAAATGTCAACTAACCAGGCTTCATTCGCTAGTTTATCAGCAACTTCCCAACTTAGAAGAATTAGATTTAAGAGATAACTACTTTACTTATTTTTCGCCAGAAGAATTTAGACATCTGAAACGTTTAAAATATCTTCATTTGGATGGGAATAATCTGACTCTTATTGTTGAGAAAACGTTCGATGGACACAACTTGAGACATCTTGGTTTGTCGCGAAATCGAATATTCAAATTCTCTAAATGTGCATTCTGTAACTTGTCAATACAGCAATTAGATCTTTCGTATAATCAACTCGTAAGTATACATTTTGACGCTTTATCACCCATAGCCCACTCATTAGAAAGTTTAGACGTCAGTTTTAATGAAATAGATTCTGAGGAATTAGAACTCGCTTTAAGTCCTCTTTACAAATTGAAGAAACTATCACTATCAGGAATGAAACTTGATCATCTATCAGATGATGCTTTTATCAACAACATTGAACTAAAAACATTAGACATATCTTACAATTTATTTTCAAACTTATCAGGTCAAACCATCCAACCTCTACATCAAATTGAAGAAATTGATTTATCACACAATCTGTTGGAATATTTAGATCCTTCCTTTTTGGAAAAAATTGACAATATATCAACTTTGCATGTTTTACATTTACATTCAAATCCATGGTCTTGTCATCGATGCTCCGTCCTCACTCTACTAAGATGGATCCGACAATCTATTCTTTATAGTAGTACTTGTGATGTGAACTACGAAAGTAGTACCTGCATGAGATGTGCTTCGCCACTTTCTCTGGAGGGACGTGCTTTACATTCATTGCGTCGCTTAGATCTTGAACCTTGCAATAGCCTAATGCCTCAATCTAGAGTATTTGTAGCATCATCAAATGTCGTCATTATTGTTGTAATAACAGTTGTTATTCTTTTCATAATTATTTTTACTGTTTCTGTCATAATTTACAAAAAGCAGGGGGCATCGTATTACACGCATGAAGGTGATAGAACCCCAACTTTAGGTGTACTCGGAATACCATCTGATTACGCTGATATCAATGGAAGAACTTTTTCAGAAGAAAGAAGAAGAGCGTATTTTGTAACTTTAGATCGAATAGATGAACTTGCGGGTGAAAAAATTGTGGCAGCTTTTAACTCTAACTAATGATTTTTTAAATTTTTTTATTATGCGTGGCTTCTTTAAAAGTAAAGATACATTACGTTAGGGTGAACAGGAAGTACTTTATTGCATATTTTAGAAACTTGGAATTCAATCGTGACCCTTTGACTTGATGTTGTATTGACTTGAACTACTATACATTGAGTCTGATTCAAGAAAAGCGTATTTTTTTTATATACAAACCGTTAATCAACTTGATCTTAATATAATTGGTTAAATCTAAATAATTCACGCTTATCATACCTTATTCAAAGATCACTGGAAGCTTCTCCGTTCAGTACTTATCTATTTTGAGAAACCAAATGGGATTTAATTTCAATACGTTTTGGCTGTTTAAGTGGAATTTTTATTAATTTTTTATTAGGACAACTTAGACATCAAAAATACGTTCTAATTGAACCAGACTCTCTGTAGGAATGCCAAACAACCACGAGGAGAACGTCAAGTTTTGTAGGTAAAAGCCAGTGTTCTCAAAATTCACGATGAACATTTTAAACTCCTGGCTACTATATATTTATTTTTCATGCAGACTTCATAGATGCGTTTTATTTTCATTCTATATTTAAAGCCAGTTTTCTAACCAAACTTGAGACGATATAATTTAAACGATAATACATAGCAGCATGTTCTAAACCTTCTGGCAACCCTGGTCTAATGAATCTTTTCAAAATTCTCTTCTTTTTTATCAGTAAAAATCATTGTTTATCTACTATATTAATTTTATTAATTTTAAAAGTCTTCTTTCACTATTTTTAATATATTTTAGAATATACAAAGGATCTCGCACAAATATTATAGAAATCAATTCTATGTCAAATTGAATGGAAATTTAATGTGTTGTAGTTCAAAACATTCTGATCCAGAGTTCTCATTGACAAAGTCCAAAAATGGACTGAGATACGGAGCCACAAGCATAAGAGATAGAGGCAACGGTCACTGTAGTGAAGAAAGCGCAGCATTGGCTCGAGTGAATGCCAAGAAGTAAGCCGTTAGCTACTGAATTAGAGACATCTATCGTGCTACTAGTTTTTTCATAACTTAATCAAGTTTTTAATACTTATTTAAAAGTTAATCATTAAGGCTATTTTTGTAGGCTCTGTCGTAATATGAAATGATGCTTTTTTTACGAATAATATGCTATTTTTATAACTGGTGTAAGTTTGCAACTGTTACTCATGACTTTTTGGTCAAGTTTAGCATATCTAAGGCCAGCACAAAACGTCAACATGGAGAAAAGCCGCAGTTTTGGGAAAATAAAAAACGTTTATGGTCTTATTTTTTAATATTCAAAAACTTGCTCTATTGCTGCACTATCTAGGCTCATAAAAGTTTGCAAAAGCTGAGAATAAGGCAGTGATTTTGATAATTTTCATCTAGATGGGAAAATGTCATCAAATTGGCGATTTTTAAAAAGTTTTATAACTTTAAAAATATTTATGTTATTTGTCTGTTCTAAAGAGCGGATAATTCTTCACGGTAGGATTATACATATACTAGTTAAAAATCATCGCATTGCGTCAAGTGTAAGACACTTAAACTATGCCTTTTTTTTCCTTGGCAAGAGAGCTTCGAAAAACAGCGTTAATTATTTTTAGAAAATTGAGTATTATTCTATATATTAGAGAATTGAGAATAACTATTTATGGTTGAGGCTTCGTATCTCCGTAACTATCAATTTGTGGACTTAGTGTCAACCAGAATTTTTTATCAGAATGTTGTGAACTACAAGATGTAAAATTTTCCGCTAATTTGACAGAGAAATAATTTCCATAAAATTTATGCGAGGTGTTTCCGTGAGCTATTTTTAAAATCTTAATTTACGCTAATTGATGCCGCCATCATCATAAAAAAAATGACAGCTGTAGACATGTAGCAAATCAGTTCTAAGTTTCCTTTAAAAATTTCAAAATGATGATTTCGTGTATTTAAAAAACAAAACACCATTTTGTTCATTAAAAAGTAAACAATTTATTTTTAAGAAGTCTACTGTAATATTTTAAATTAATAGAGTAACAACAAAGAAGTGGAGCTTTCCCCCAAAGTTATAATATAATATTAAACTTTATTAAAAATTCATCTGATATAGATTCAAAGCCAGCAGTATATTACTAATTAGACGGTGGTTTACATCACTAGATGAAGCACCAATTTTCCCAGTTTGAGATTTTTTTTTCTCTCTTTGTAGTATTGTAAGAAGCAATGAACTGATCTGAATAGAAAATATTTTATGTAAATTCTCCTGAGATTTACAGGCCTATTCTATGACCAGGCGGTAAAATATTTAAGTGGTAAATTTTATCGCATTAACGTGACTTCGATTTAACGTTATAAAGTTTAGGCATGTGGTAATATTTTGGCATAACTTATTCCATTTCTTTTATTGGCCTCGTCAGAGAATAGGCCTGCAAGAAAACTAAAAATAGGAACTAGAAGCACCATTTTTATCTTGTCATGGTAGTTCAACATCTCAAAATAAGAAATTAGCGCTTGGTCTTATAATATAAAACACCGTCCAATTTATATCTCACGAGCAGATAAAAAATTTCTTCAGTGATAAAAAGCATCGAAATGACGTAAAACAAAGCAAATAAATAAAAAAGTTTTTTGGATTTGATGATTCCATTTTGACACAACTTATCAATGAAGTTCTTTATTGCCTGGTTTGTAAAATAGGCCTGGAAATCATTGCATGCTTTTCACTTATGTGTATTTCCCTTTTTTTCTCCTTCTCTTTAATAATTATGTTTGAAAATAACTCTGTAAAAAAATTATCATTACAACACTTAGACTTATCTTGATTGATGAATAAAGTTTTTATTTATAACAATGTGGTGTAACTTCTTTTTTCATATTTATTTCGATGTTTCATTTTTTTTCTATCTTGATAATGTTGAACAAAAACCAATCTTAAGTGTCCGGTTTTCAAGTGTTTACAAATTGTATCAAAGAAATCAGGCGTCTGACCAGAGTTATATAGAGCAATTAATTTTTTTTCCCTCTAAATAATATTCTAACGAATATCGATATATCCTCATGAGATTTACATTCTTCAAGTAAATACAGGTAACACGACCCTGAAGCAACCCAGTGATCTTTTCTTCTTAATTTTCCACTGTTACATTGCGTCATTCATAGTTTCTTGCAATGTGTTTCTTTTATCCTGAATGCGTAATATAATTTGAGTTTTGCGCAGTACAGCCACTTTTAGTTCCACCTTTAATTAACCAACTCACACATCTATGAAGATACGTCATAGCACAAAATGTCACATCCATGGACATGTATCGAACGATCAAAAATATGACTACTTTGAATTTTTACACCTTTTGAACTTTTCAAATAATCTTACCCGAGTTTTGTGTTTTAGTATACAAAGTTACGTAGTTTTCTAGCAGTAAAAATTATTCATTTGTCAATTCAAAATAATGTAGATCATTAATAAGTAGAATTTTTTTAAAAATCAAAAAATATAAAGCAACTAATAAAAACTGTTTTTTCCGCATAAGCAATTTTGAGAAAATGAATTTTACAATTTAATTCAAAAAACTTTCGCTGCACACACTTTTTTGTGAAACTGCAGTCAAAAATGTGAAAAATAAAAATAATATTCACTGAAAGAATCGAATATTCGATCCCTATAATGCCTATTGAGTCCAATTTTGAGAATCGGTAATAATAACAATTACCCGAAATATAAATGCTTTTTCCAGATATTCATATGCAGAACACCCTATTAACCAAATTAAAAAAATATTGAAAATTTGTGAACAAATAAATTAATAAAATTTCATAATTGCACGTAATTAAAAATGGACAGAAAGTATTCCGAAATTGTCCAATTTCAAGCACATTAACAAAAATGACCCTTTTAGCTCATCAAATTTTAAATCTGAATTTACATTTTCTGGATTATAGAGAGAATGTTAAGGACTAAAACAAAAACAATCAAAATTACGTATGAAGACTACAATAAAAAAAAGCCTTTTTTTTCGGCTTTAATACAAGCATGGAAAACATTTTCATTGTTCATTTTTAAGCTCTTCAGTGAACCGATTAATTTTTAGCCAATTACGGGATGAATATCCTGTAATATTTTATGTACTTCTTGTCGGAAAATTGACTATAATTATTAATGATCGAATTCATTTTAACTGAATTTTTTAACCTTGAGAAGTGGTATTTCTCATGCAACGATGTTAATTCCTATTATTTGATTTCTAAATTTTTAATTTGTGAAACTATCTCAAACTTAGAAAATACGTGTTTTGTTGTGAAATCCAAATTTTTTGCTGATAATTGTTATAGACTTAATAAAAATTTTCATAAATGCGAATTTTTATCGTGGAACTCCAGCTAATTGAACTAATTGAATTGTAAATTAAAGAAACTCAACCAAAAAGTAATACGGCGAAGGGGGGAAAGGACACGAATGTTTTCACATTCGCTTAAAATTTAAACAATTAGATATTACGAAATCGATATGCTTTAATACTATCTTGAAAAAAACTATTCCAAATCAGGAACAACTTTTCCAGAATATTAGTTATTTTTAACGTTGTTATTTTTTAAAAAAACATTATGGAGCTTTATAATTTTGAAAATTTCACCAATTTCTAATGATTACGCCGGTGACTTGTACAGTGATCAAAATAAAAAACCGACCACCCTGAATAACTTTTGATTCAGCTAACGAATCTTCATATTTTTGGACACAGTCTTAGCGGTTCAAAGCGATGATTTCGAATATGCTAATTAGTTAGCGCAGATGATATTTTAAGTTACGAAATCAAACACAAAAACGTACTTTCTTTGAACAAACATATCTTTTTTCGACGGACTCGGATTTCTGACCTCTACAATGTAAGGGGTAGCCGCAATGTGGAAAATAGGATCCCAGTAGTTTGGTCAGGAGAGCGTTCCAAAATTTGAACCCCTTACTGTTAATTTTACTTTTTGAGTATTTCACCATATCTCAAGAACTTTTTAAGTGAACTAAAAAATTTATGCCATAATTATAAAATTTGTTAATCCAAAGATAATTCCATTCAAAATATAACTTTTAATGAATATTTACGGTTTTTCTAATATTTTATTTAATGATGATTGAAAACTTTTGAATTATAAAGTATACAGTTTTTTTACATCATTTTAAAGAATGAAATTTTAAATGGCAAAATACATAATTTCAGCGAAATCGGTCGAATAGTTTCTGAAAAATCAAATTTTAAATTTTTTTTTTTTAAAAATTCGATTTCTCAGGAACTGTTGGAACCAATTTTGCTCACATTTCGTATTTTGTCTCGTAAAAAGACATTATTCAAAATAATGTAACAGATTGTATAGCTTACAGTTGAAAATTTTTTTGACTAATGTTAAGTAAAATAATAAAGATAGTAAATACTCGCTAAAATTTATTTCTTGCTTCTTTGGCTAAATGAATTTCATAATTGTGTGCAAAAATTTTACTGTGTTTAATTTATTTTTAAATTTTTATTTCTATCGTATTTGTGTGCAAAATAAACAAAAAGTAAGATTAACATTAAATTGTCCAAACTTTGAACAGCTCTTCTGACAACACTATGGGGACCATATTTCCAACATTGCGACATTGGGAATCAGAAATCCGAATCCGTCGGAAAAAAGGTATGTTTATTGAGAAAAAGTTCATTTTTGTGTTTGATTTCGTAACTTAAAATATCTTCCGCACTAATTAATTAGCATATTTGAGGACTTCCCCTCGAACCATTTAGTCCTAGAACGTGAAGACCCGCTTATTAGATCAAAAGTAATTCACGGATGATGGTTGGTTTTTGTTTCTCTCTGCGCACTGTACATCAGATATTTTAATAATGAGCATCGTGATATTTATAATGTTTTAATTGTGATTTTAAAAAGAATGCTCCATAATAGCGGCCATTCCTCTTTACTCAGGCTATGGAACACCCTGCATGTGTTTGGGGATAAACTTCACGCAATTTTGGATTCGCAACTTTAAAGATCGAATACACCGCCCAACACCAAGTTAGGCGGAATTCGGAGGAAACTTCAAAGAACTACATAGATAAATAAAAATTAAAAAAAATATCTGATTTAAGGAACTGTTCTCACCGCATTTCCGATCGCTGTCGAGTGAAAAGGAGAACCTAATTGATGAATTTTCACTGAAAAATACATTTCACGAAATAAGTTTCAGTCTTCTTCCTTCGGAGGTGCATAAATCGCACGCAGGGAAATTGATTTTTATGGACGAGTTTTTTGTAGGTAAGTATATTTCCATGATCACTTTCTTGTTTGCAACTCCGAATTCGCATATGAGAATTTTTCGCATGCAGTGTGAATTGGACATTGAGGCCTATGTTAAAGGGTCATTCTCACTAAATGCGATTTAAACGCATCTGGGCTTGGGAAAAGTAGGATCCTGGCTGATAAGGGGCTTTGGTGGGAAAATGTTTTTCACTAATCAGTTTCTCCATCGAAGGTGATTTAAGTGCGTGAACCACATTCAGTGAGAAATGCCGCGAGTTCACAATGCTGTTTGAAAATCGTGCGTGCGTGGAACCAATTATTATCGCATGTGAGCCAAGCATGTTATTCTGCCTCATGCTTGAAATCCTGCCCCTGCTCTGTAGTTATCTTGGTGAAATTCAACCTTTAGTTTCTTGAAAGCCCTAAATTTCGCTGCCGAGCAAACCTAGGCAAACGGAAGCATACTTCTTTACAGCAAAAAATAAATAAAAAGTTTGTAAACAAATCACACGTGTTGTATGTGATTTGCATTTCATTGGTGTTGGTTGTAGAATTTAGATTGAATTTATAAATTTAAAAAAAACTTTTAATTGACTATAAAACTGAGTATGAATATTTGTACTATCTATCAGCGTTCTATTAAATATAATACATTGATCTATGAGTTTTAGTAGGATAGTTTAAACCTTGTTTACGATTATGAAATTCACTTAAAATATTTTAGTATAGGGATATAGTGATTGCAGTTTAGACGACATGGATATATCCCTTTTGTAAGACGTGCTGGTTAATAAATTATTAATAAAATCTTACAATATAGTAAATTTTTTAGTAACCACAAAATTACTTTAGAGGCATGTATGCAGTCTGCTATCGATATATAATATTTTATGTCTCATGATATCACATATTTGGATACCTCGCCTTTTTTTCCGCCAAATCTCACTAAAATTTTTCCTCTATCTTTAAATTCAAATAGGATAAAAAAGATTTTTGTTTAAGTCAAATATAATTTTCTATAATTTCAATTAATGTAGTATAACATTTAACCCTCGTACCTTGTCATTTATTTGCTGTTTTTTGGTGGGTAGTAATGGATAATTATTAATCATTAATGCGATGCTGATTGGTGCAAGATAGTATTAGAAAGGAGACAATACAATATAATAAAGTTGTCCTGTTCTATTTATAGAGTATCTAGATACATTACTTTATTATTCATTCCCTAACAAGCATATAATTGGAGGGCTACTCTACTCAAGAAATAAAAAGAATTTCAGTTGTTCTCTCTGTTAAAGCACCTTTGATAATTTTTCTTAGCTTAACAATTGATATTTTGGAAATGACTGAATCAATATTTGAAATGAGTTTTTTTTCCACCTAAATTATTTTGCCAATTGTATTTAATTAAACTTAGTTCTAAACCAAATTACCAAAGATAAGGATTTCTAATTAGAAATAAAGCCAAGCTTTGCCTTATACTTTGAAAGAACATGAGTGTAATAATATAATTGGCTCTTCTTGATAACATGATTGATTCTTCCAAAATTTACAATTATGAATGTAGCTTTTAAAAGAAATGGGAAAAAATTATTACCTGCATTTAAATAGTTATATGGAAAAAAAATTTTTTAACAAAAAGGATATCATGAAAGAACTGTGGTAGTTTTTACATTCTTTACTCTAGAAGTCAGAGTAAATTATTTAACACAATCAAAATCTTTTCAACAAGCTGAAATACTGAAGTAACTTTTAAGTGTATTAGCTACAGTTTATTTTTTGAAACAGCACACTGATAATCTCACACTCTGACTCTCTAAATAATATATCATTTACAATATAGGTAAGACTATTAAACTACTTATCTGAAATAATTAAAAAAAACTATTTGCTTTCAGTGTAATATTATCCATTATATTATCTATTTTAATTAGAATAGCCCATTATTTTGTAGTATATTGAATATTTTTTAAGTTATTGCTTAGTAGAATAATCAGAAACCATTAGGTTATTTGTGAAAATTAAATAAAAATGATTAAAAGCATGTTACACACATTTTTCCACTCTTTTTCGTATCTGTCTAATGGATTAAAGATGAACATTTTGATCGCATTAATGTATAGAATTTTAAATTATTTTTCAAATATCCAAATGTAATTGCAATGAGTCTACTTTTTTATTATTATTTCTTAGCTGCTTACATTTAACCTTTTTCATACATTTATTTTTTTTCCAATGTAAGAATTATTTGAAAAGAGAATTGGAATTTTCTAACATTCTCTTGGGTAGATAGGTACTTTATTTATGTCACTATAGAGCTGCACAATGGGCTATTGGTGACGGTCTGAAAAACATCTCTGAGGATGATCCGAAGACATGCCATCGTGATCCTCTGCAGAGGGGATGGCAATATTCTCTTATTTAGGGAAAATCATGCTTTTTATTTCTACCCCTCTCTCATAGTTCTCTCATAATCTCTTACCCCCTCTCTCATAATTACAACTCTGGGAACAGGAGTTGAAAACAAAACTGAATTCCTCCTTTTCCTTACTTAATAATTTTTATTCCTTCAACACAGAATTTTTATTAAACATATTTCTTATACTTTTTTCATTATTTTGTGTTAATTAAGGTTAAAATGAATGAAAAATATCATATTTAGCATTTTAATAATTTATGGTTAGGAAATACAACATGAAATATTGGCATCCTTTCTGCATTAAAGGTGAAATCTTCCAAACACAGCTCACTTCCAAACAATAATTTGTTTCAAATTTGTTAACAGTTATTTGAAACAGTCATTTATCATTGAAATTTCTTTAATTTACAAAATCAAATATTGATACATTTTTGAATATGATTGAAAAAATTGTTTTTACAAACGTTTGGATTTTATGTTCGAATTTAATTTTGATAATCTAACAGATTTTTTTAGTAACTATTGGACTGTTTTCTTATAGTTAAGAGAAATATTCAAAAATATATTTGTTTGTAATTTGACTATTAGTAAAAAAAATATAAGAGGGACACTGGTGTCATCTGACCTAATTTCCTTTCAAAATTCTTGATTTTCTAGTGCTTTAAAACAAGTTAAAATTTCTTTGCTCACAATATTTAATAAAATGAAAATATTATAATATTTTTAAGTTTATTAATATATAACCACTATCAAAAAGTTAAGAAAAAATTGGATTTTTATATCAAAATAAAAGGAATTGAATTAGTAACGGGACTGAAGCAGAATAAGATTAAAACAGTGGGACCAAAATACCATGAATTTGGAGTTATATAGGAAACAGCCCTTTAAGATAAGGCATATATATCTTTGCTGATGTGTTATAATTTATATGAGTGTAATGTCATAATTCAGTTTTTTTTTTTTTTTTTAAATCTGCTTCCATAAATGAGGTATAAATGTTAAGTGTCTAACAAAAGACTATAAAGGCAAATTGATTAAAAAGATAAAATTTTAAAATAACTCTCCAACTGAACTTATTAGTTGAAGCATAATAAGCTATCATTTCAATCAATTAAAAAAGAATTTCCATATAATGTATACTATATTTGATTATTTGCTGATAATTTTAATTCACACATTTTTTCAGATGTTACGAAGAAAGAAATCAAATGCTGATAGTGTAATTTATGATGAAAGTGAAAATCAAGATGGATTTAAAGCATTATTTATTATTATATTCTGTCAAACGGCAGTTGAGGAAACAATCTTATGGCTTTTAGATCGTTTCACTCGATCCCAGCATGAAGGTGGTGCAGAGTTATTAGTTCGAGTTCATAAAACAAATAATGAGGTGAAATTCATTGTATTTTATCTTATAAAATATTACCAAATTCAAATGAAAGGCACAGAAAAAAAATTTTTTTCTCAAAATTTGCTATGATAAATGATTATAGTTTTCTCATATCAAAAGTTTTATTAGGTGAACAAAAAAAGATATGATTAACAACTTGCAATTATCTAGTAAATAACATAAATTTGTTAAAAGAAAAATATAGGGTTAAGGCTCAAAACAATGCATATTATAGTTTGTCTACGGTAAGAACCCCCATCACCACAACTGTCTGCTTTCAGACCGTCTGCTATGGAGCAGAAGGTCTGGAGCCATCTGCTCCTATGGAAACAAGAATAGCACATTTCAGGGAAGGTTACTTCTCTTGACTCTAGGGCTAACACAGTAGACCAACGAAAAAGATTCCATTTCTCTCTCTGACCTGAGTCAAAACCTGTCCTAAACAATGACCCAAGCCCCTTATTTAAAATAATTATACCTCGTTACCATAGTCACCGCCACAGGTCCAGGTGAATTGCTTGGGGAGTTCTTACTTTAGACAAACTATCGGTGTACAATGGAAACCTAAAATAAAGAGTTATGTGCAGAATTCTTATGCATTTTCTTATATACAGGATCCTTCAAAAGTAACAGTAGGTATTTGGAACTTTAATTTATCAAATTTCATAAGATTTAGTAACCATGCATAAAAGACCATGAAGGTAGTGTAAAAATTTGAGATTTGAATGAGCATAAAAATATGCAAATTCAAAAAAAAAAATAAATTATATAGCTAAAAAGATTATTATATATTTCAATACTTAGTACGTAAAAAGCCAATATGTTGATTTATCTTAAATTTCTAAATGCTCTTTTTGCTGCTCGATAAAAAATATTAGTATTTAGTACATTAAAGTTTTACAGAAATTTCTAAATATAAGATCTGATTTTAAATACTTTGAAAATATTTTAATCAATAGTTTTTATTTAGCAAGGAGAACCTTTTTTTGTATGCAGTTTGTTTCATTTCTCTTCTTTTTATGAAAAGAGTTTTATAAAATATGAGCTGTTAATGGTTTTGTTGTGTGCTTAAGATATGCATATTAAAGAATGGAAACTTCAAATTAAATTTTAAAATCTGGTAAATAGAGTTTCTCTGAATAAATGTTAAAATTTATATTACAATTCAGAATTAAATGTTATTTTTTAAAAATGGTTTATTTGCAAAAGAAAAAATGGAGTACTGCCAAAGTATATACAGGGGAAAAAGTCTAGCTTTCATTAACGTAATGTAAACTTGTCTCCCAAGGTTAGGTGTGGTCCCAGTATTTAAAGGAAAAAAGCATTTAGGGGCACGACACCAAAGGTTCTATCAATGGGTTTGCACCCTCCTCTCCTCCTAACCAATACTAGCAGTTGGGGCGAAGAAGAAAAGTTTTCTTTCTTATTTTATCATTGATTTGTTTTGTTACATGATTTCTTTTTAAAAAAACAAACAAAAGTAAAAGCTTTTATGGTGTATAGTTACACAAGACTGATGAAGCAATGAAGATAATAATTTTCAAGTTTCTTAAAAAACCAAATGGAGCTGATTTGTTATGGTCCTGCACCCGATGTTTGGCAATTTTTTATTCTCCAACCACTTTTGGTGTTTTTTTTTTGGTGCTGCTTTTGTCTAGAAAATGGAATAAAATATTACATTTGTATTAAATTCTAAGTTCTCTTGTATTTCAGTCTTTTTTTAACAACACTAAACATACATTTCATGAATGAAAAAAGGCATATCTGTATCAATTAATGCCCTCAAGCATCTGATGTCCCCAAGCAACAGTTTTGTTATCAGTCAGCTGCAAATTTCATAAAATATAGCAATTTACACACAAAAAATAATTATTTTATGACTCTAAGCATGTTTTGTAACAACTCTACTGCAAATTTCATAAAAAAATATATATATAAGTATATACATAAAACTATGAGTTAACAATGCTAAAAACTAAACTCAGCGGCGCGATAGCCCAAAGAGGGCCAAAGCCTACTGTGCCCATCTCAGTTTTCTTGACGGGCTCTGGGGTGCAGGAGCAGATGTTCCGGTCAGGTGGTCAGCTGAATGCGGAACCTCCAGTGTTTAGCCCCCAAGCATGCTTAGTACTCATTTATCAACCCAATGAAGGGATGAAAGGCTGAGTCAACCTTGCCCGGCCCGAGGATTGAACCAGGGACCTGTGGCACGAAGCGCTACCGCTCAGCCACCGGGCGTCGAATTTACAATGCTAAGCAGGTATATTATGAAAAAAGAAACATTAATAAGCACATTGAAGTTACTCATAAAACATGTATCCTGTTTCTTTCAAAATGCCTTAAAATTATAACTTTTAAACATAAATTTAATAGATGCACAGCAATAAAAGATTGACTCTGCAGTCATATTAAATCTTTACACAGGTAACAAATTTACTTAATGCATAATGCTGATAAGTTAACATTACTGGGCTCATTTTTGAAGCAAAGCAGCCTTTAACTAAAAATGATAGTCTCTCACCCACCCACATTCTGAATTAATTTGAATATTTTTAATTTATCTATGCAGTGTGGATGAATTAATAAAAGCATCTGGGCATTCGTATCCTTAAAAAAATAATAAAATAAATCAACAGTGTAGCGGATTTCAGGCAATCGCACTTAAATATTTATAACAAGCATTGATGAAGATTTTGTGCAGCACTTCAAAGTTAATTTTGAAATCCATTACTAATCAAATAACTGGACCTATTTATACTGGGCTATTGCATTTAAACTTTATAAAAAGCAAATAAAAAATATTGAAGGTATTAAGTTGAAACCTTTGCTCCTCTCACTCTCCCATCACGCTTATCTTCACTCACAAGTACAATCCAAACGCCACATTAGCAGTTAAGCTAGTGTTGGCGAAGAAAAAAAAAAAAAAAACATCAGTCATTCAATACAAAGAGTGTTTCTCATTTTAAACGCTTCTTACATACTCTAGTTAATTTTTCAAAACCATTTTTTCATTTCCGTTTGTGTAAGATATCTTACTGTTAAGCTAGGATTGTAATTCTAAAACAATTAAATGAATTTTACAACAACTATAAATAGTAGTGGCTTGATAGAATCTAGTAGTTGTATAGAAATTCATTTTTACAAGAGAGAGCATAGTTATTATCTTGAATTCTAATAAATATGAGAAATTTCTGGATTAATGATGATTCTAATAACACGCTTCATTGCAAAAACAAAAATAAACCTTAAAATTTACTGCATAGTTAAATATGAAATTGATGGAGTCAAAATGTTTTTTAAGATACTGTACTTTCAAGTAAGATGAAATGGCAAATATATTTTATGCTTTCCTATGGTTAAAAGTTGGAGAATTAAGTGTTAAAACTACTATTAAACAAAAGTATTTTCCTACTTTTCAGGGAACAATTCTTGAAATAGGAGCAACGACTATAAGATTGCTAGAAGCAGCTGAGGCTCTAGAGATTACTAAAGAAGATAAAAATGGCAACATTCGAGAATTTGTTTTTAGCAACATTGATCAATTTTTCAAGCCAGGTAAAATTTTCTTAATGAATTATAAAGTTTTAAATCATTAATTTTTCTTAATAAAATTAAATATTGATCAAATTCTAATCGAATCGGAAATATGTAATTTATTGTTTGCTTACATATATATTAATAAAATGCTTTTTTTTTCTTTCCTAGGTTCATTTTTCGGAGATTAAAAATATAACTGTTTTTTGACACATTCATATAAAATTAATGTTAATGAGGAAATGTCATTATTTTGGAGATTAGTATTCCATTTAATTTCCTTAAATTTTTTTTATTTACCCTTTCAATAAAATTTTATGATTTAGATATTTTTTTAATAATGTTTATCCATAAATTATATTTAAAATTTTAATGCAATAATTCAACAATGTTCTTGTTAAAAATATTTTTAATTGCCATTTTTAACTTGACTCTGTACTAATTCTATAATATTCTTCCATATATGTACAATTTTGATTTTTTTTAAGTAAAATTTTTAAGTTCTAAAATTTATATAATCAGTTAAGCAAATGTTTTTACATTAATATTCTGTAACTGTAGCAAAATGACATAGACTGTTCAATAAACCCTGAGAATAAAAAAGCTGCTTTGAATAAAAACTAGTTTTGAAAATTGTTAATTGAATTGGACAATTTTTTTAACATACTTATATGCATGATAGCACTTATTAATATCTGTTGAGCCATGTAGCAGTTATATCCATTTAAGTGTAGTGATGTTATACCCAGTGTTCAAAATGTAATTGTTTTTTTAAAAAACTACTAAATTGATTTTCAAAAAATTTTGTTTTTATTTTTCTTGTTTTAATGCACTTTCTAACTAACTTGAGTTTTATTTAAAACTTCTGTTGTTGATTTTCTATTAATATTTAAAAGCAATTTTTTGAAGAAAAGAAATCTTGTATTTTTAATTTCAGTTTCAAATGTCAATTTTTCTAAAAATTTGAATAATCTTAAATTATTCCTGAGGAAATGAGGATTCAAACAGCCGTTTCTAAAAATTAAAAATCAGATTTGGTCATTTTAAGTTGGGAAAGGAATATATGACTCTTAAAATAAATTTTTTATACATACACTGAATATACTTTTTTTTACATACATTTTTTTATGCATACCTAGGTGAACAATAAAGTTTCTAATTGAAGTGTGAGAATATCATCCAACATGAATCTATAGACTTACTATTTTTTCTTATGCTGAAAACTGCAAAAGGGGGACTTGTGAAAGTTTTCCCTTTAAAATTTAACTGAGTGTCCTTATATTGTTGCTTTTATATTCATTAGAATATCAGGTTGTTAGTTTCAAAATAATTTAACTTAATTTTGTATATGTGCCCTTTATGAAAGTTTTTTTTTCTTCCTTAGAATAATTCTATGGCTTTGCAACTGCAATTTTTTATAAAATATTTTTTTAGGTGTGACTACACATAACATTTTGAACACTTCAGAAAAGCAAAGGATTGTTTTAGAAGAAATAATGAGCATCAGAGCTCTGGATAAGAAAATGTTGGATGGATACCCCCATATACAGCTCTTTCCAGGACAATCAATAAGTAAAGTTACTGTTCATGTTCATCACATTCGATAACTTTAAATATTCTCTTTTGTCTTTGAAGATGACAGTATTGCCAGTTAGGAAATAAATAATTGCCATCATTCTAGATCAGCAGTCCTCGTGTGGTATTCCAGGGAATATGGAGGTTTGGTGGAAGAGTTATAGGGGTTTCGCGAGTTAGTACTTTTTATAACCAGTCACGAGTTTAGAAACCTCTTATTATATTTATATATAACTTATAAATTATAATTTATAAATTTTGTGGTGGCCATTATGAAATTATTTCAAGTAAAATACCATTGAAATAGAAATGGCATTTTTTAAAAGAAAATATATTATTTTTAATTATAATATACTGAACAAATTATGAAAAGAACAATAATTTATAAAACATTGCATTAGTACTTCCTGTCATGCTTTTCAAATCAAAATAAAATAATTAAATTCCTTACTAAAGAAATATGTTTCCTTAATAAACGTTTTAAGCTTTTATAGCAGTTCTTTATACTTTTCATTTCAAAGTAGATCATAATTCTGCTTATTATATTCATTTTCAGCTTATGTATATACACCAAAGTCAAATTCATAACTAGATTAGATGTAGCACAAGTACTGCAAATTCAACTGTTGGACATAAACCTAATTTAAGGCAATCAAATATGAAACTATGAAAAATCTTCATTCCTCTAATTAAATATTTGAAAAATAATCTTTTGTAGGTTATAATATTCATAATTACCTTAATAAACTTTATTTATAAAGTTGGAATTCCGCCGAAAGAAGGTTGTTTATTTAGCGTTTTGTAACAAAAATAATTGGAAACTGTTGCTCTAGATTATTATTTTTTCCCTGTATTGTAAATTTTTTTCATTTTATTTTGATTTATTTAATAAAGGCTTTTAATTTAAAGAACATGAAAAATATTTTCAAAATCAAAATATTAAACGATCTTCCATCACCATGCATAGTTGGAATCCAAATTAAAGGTTTGAGTTTTCTTTTACTAAAATCATTCACCCCTGCTCTTCATCTACCAAACTTGATTTCTGTAAATCATTCAATATTTTGAATGATTCTCGGAATTTAGTTAATAATCTTTCTAGCATCCCACCCTTCTCCAATATTTAAAAATCTATCCTCATTGCATCTTTGCACCTTGGACTTTCTGGGAAAACCTCTCACCTGTTTTTTATCATTCTTCTTTTTTATTGTCTTGTTCAGACTTGTTCCCCTGTTGCTTAAAACACTTTGTATTTGTCTATCTCTTTACTTTTCTGCTGTCATCTGATGTTTAGACTCGGAGGAAGATTCTTGTTTAAAGAACTAAAACTGTAGTATGCCCATTTCTGTACTTTATTCACATTGTTTTTTGTTTTAGTTCACATAGAACAAAGAGAAGATACCCAATCCTCTTTTTTAAAGAGAAATTTATTTTTGATTATATTTTCTTTCAAAAAAGGGGCTGATTTTTGATATCTTTAATTATTTAGATGATAATACATGCTTTTTAAGTTTTCATGCTTTATAATTATTGTGATTTTTCACAAATAAATTATTTGCAGTACAGGTATGCAGAAATCATGGCATAATTGAACATATGTATCCACTACATGAAAAAACAGAATTAAACCAATTAATAAATAAATGGACCTTTAGATTTTTACCTCTTGGTAAGTTTTTAAATTACTATTATTTCTTGTTAGAATTCAATAACTCACCTGTGATACTTTAACAATATCCTGTTTTTTTTAATATTAGTTGCTCTTTGTTATTTATATGCTAAGTTGTTTACTAGTTAATATATATAGTAATTGTGCTTGATATTCATTGGATAAATAAATATATAAAATATGTTTAATAGGAACTAATTCTCTCGAGAGTCTGCATTTCTCTTGACATTAGAATTTTTTTGGACCAACAAATAAGGTCTAGTCTAATTAGTCTTAAATTCAGTTATTTTAATTCATAATACATTCAAAATAAAATAAAAAGGTGTTCCTATTACATAAAACATTTATATATTAATTTTCTTTTGAATTTATTTTGTGGCATATTAGTAATTAAAAATTCAAATTAACATGTTAATTCTATTTTTTGATTAAATACATAAAACTTTTTTTTCTTATTAAGAATTCAATTCATGAAAATTTTTATTATAATTTTAATTTCCTATTTTCTTCACAGATTTACCTATACTTTTGTTTTTAAATATTTTATTAAAAAATATTTTTTTCTAACTTTGACAAAAAAACCTTCATTGTATGGTGGCCATAATGGCAAACGAACAGAAATAAAGATAAAAGAAAATTAAATAAATAAAGTTGGATATGCTTATACTGCAATGTCCTATAGGAGTCCTCAAAAAATTAACAAATGAAAAATTAACAATTCATTGAACCCCTAAGAAGCGTTGAAATGGAAAAGCAGACTGCTTAGAAGAAGAAAAAAAAACATTAATGAAAGATGTTGACCGCTTTGATGAAAAAGAGGTAAATATAGAGTACAAGATAGAGTACAAGATAGAGAGCATTGCAAAGTAAATAGCACTTGCAAATCTTGACTCCTATTTTCAACTGCCGTTGTCATATGACCAGGAAAGTAGGGATATCTTTCATAGTAGAGGAAATGATTATAGTGCTATGTTTTATCATTATTAAAAACTTTTAAGACTGAATTACATAAACCATAAGGTAGAAACGATTTAGGAATTTTTTACTTTTAAACTTGCAAACACCGCCATAAATGACAGTATTTTGTTCGTCATTTACGTTGTGAATGTCTTTTGTGTATGTCTTCAAAAATAAAAGATTTCAATTAAAGCTAAATGAAAATAGGTTTAATTTTTTTCTATTTCGTTTCTTTATCTTTTTTATTTATTTAAATTTTTACATGCTTTTTTTTCCAGTTTTTGCTTGTAGCATTGTTTTAGGTTAAAGCTACAGCACATTTTTTATAAGTTGTGTTACCATGTTTTTATGGGTTATGCGAAAAGCCAATTACTAATTTAAAAGAAAAAAAGTTTCAATATTCAATTCAATGTTTCCCCTATATTTTAAACATGAGTGTGATAAACATATGAAGAGATTATCCGAGAAAAGCAAAATTCGACATAATAAAATGCAAAATTTTGGGTTTAAAACTATTTTACTGTCAAATGTAGACAGAAAGCATCTCTTTTCTGACAGGTCATTAAAAGAGATTATTTGTAATAGGAGAATGTGTTTTGAAGTTGCTATATTTTAAGTTGATGTTTTTAAATTCATTTGAATGTCATTTAAAACCTTCCATTTATCACTTCATATATAGTTCTTCACCAATCATGTTCACATACTTATTTTTTGGTCTTTAATTTTATTTTTGAAAATATTTCAGAGTGACTTTGGCTTTAATTATCTTTACTTAATTCTATATTGTAGATGATATCAGGAACTACTTTGGTGAATCTGTTGCCTTCTATTTCTCATTTATCAGTTATTATACATGGGCCCTTTTACCTCCCGCTGCAATTGGTTTTTGTCAAACTATTTACTCTTTTGATATTACTCGCTCGCATTTATTTTTTGCAACATTTAAGATGATCTGGCTTACCATATTCCTTGAATTTTGGAAAAGAAGAAGTAATGAACTTGCATATGGTTGGGGAACTCTTAGACTTGTTAATTTACCTAAACTTCACCCAACTTTTCGAGGAAGGTGCATGCAAATTGATTCAGTTACCAAGCAACATGTTCCTGTTTATCCTGCTTATAGACGTCATCTTAAAGTAAGATTTTTCATGTGACACAAAATCATTTTATTCAGTTAAAAAAATTAATCTCCCATTTGTGCTTTTTCTCTGCTTTATAAATATTTTAAGTATTGGTGATATTTTTTAAAATTCCACTTTTCTTAATGAACACAGGCTTTTTTATGAGCCTCATATTTACAGTTTTGTAGGTTTATTAATGTAGTTTGCCATTATATATATATGGTCCCAGTA